ATGGTTTATAAGCAGCAATGAACATGCAAAGGATCCTGTTAGCTGACTTTTTTGTTAGCTGTTTCCAAAACACATACCTTTTTCCCATTAATGAAAAATACCAATTGATGAGATTCTGTTGCTGCATGGAGAGACATTATAGAATCTGAAATGTCTAGACTATAATAGGAAGATAAAACTTCTCTTTCTACTCTCAAGCACGTGATAAGTACATGACCTGCTCATCTAATAAGTGTGCATCTACCATGGGGGAGGAACTTATTACTCTAAGGAATATGGGTGGAGACAGCAGCTGAGAGAAGACAGCAAGGCTGGGAAATGAAAAGTTGTTGGATTGCAGCTCCCGGTATTGCCAATGGTCAGGAATTAAGGGATGACAATCCATCCACAGTGTATTCCCCATTCCTGTGGAAGCACTTACCACTGCCCTGTCAAGCTGTTTATAGAGGTGAATGTGTTTTATCAGCACTAATAAACAGCATGTAATCCTGTTACATGGTGTTTGTGGTTTCCAGTGTGGTGCAGTAGATAGAGTAACAGACTAGGAGTCGAGACCTGGGTTTGAATCGTCACTCAGGTATGGAAACTCACAGGGGAATGGAGCTCCTTAAATACCTCTTTTCTTAAAAGCCCTTTTAGGGTCATTATGAGTCAGCTTTGCCTTGACAGAACATAACTGTGACAGCTTTATGCACTGAACCAGTCTTATCCAGACAAAAATAAAAACTAAAATTAAAGAGAGTATTGTGGCACCTTATAGAATGCTATATTTTAGCATGAGCTTTCATGGATACATTCTTTTCTTCAGACAAGTGATTGAACTGTTCATCCTCGAGGTACCACAACACTTTTGCTGCCTTTTTAGGGCAATGTGTAGCATAATTAACTTGTAAGTAGCCCAGAGTGCTTGAAGCCCTATGGGGCAGTATATAAACAGTATATAAGCAGCACACTTTGCTTTTTGTTTATTTGCTTCGTTATTCTTTTTGTCCGGATACAGTTGCATAGGTAAACAAGGTTACTTCTCTGAA